GTTTGGGCACCCCTTTTTTTTGGGAGAAAACTTTGGGGGGGGGGGGGGGGGGGGCACGACATATAGGTCCTCCAGCAGCAACAAGAAGACGCTGGATGCGACGGAGACGGTCTACATGTAGACCAGCCTTGCTGTGTCTTGAAACCATCGAGCTTGAACGACGTCCACTGGGGGTGGCCAACGCACGTGTCGGTGGCACCGCCGTGCTATATATAGCAGTCGCGAGACTCCCCCTCCCACTTCCCCGACGCCCGCTTTCGAGTAGGCCTGCGAACGACACCTCTCGCCGATACATACAACACCGACCGTCGTCTGTCACCGGGCACGACTCCTCCTTCTCGCCACTGGGCGGCTCCCCGTTTACATCGTGCAGCCCACCCAAACACACGCACCCAAGGCTGCGAACTCCCTCCCTCCCTCCCTCCCTCCCTCTCTCCATTCCGCCTGCGGAGTGCGCGGAGAAAACTCACCTCCCATGGTAAGGACGGCACACGAGACTCGAACCAAAACTGCTCCGACGTCAGCGCTTCCGCCTCCTTTGCCGACGCCTCCCTTGACCAAGACTCCACAACACCACCACCATCACCATCACCATCACCACCTTCCATGCCACCCTCCAGCATGCCACCCCGGGCCGCCAACCACCGCAAGACCCCACCTCCGGCCCAGGGCCGTGTTTCTTGGCCAGCCGCACCTTGTCCACCCCCCGCATCGTCTGACCGTTGCTGCTGCTGCTGCTGCTGCTGCTGCTGCTGCTTGCCCAAAAACGTAGGATTGTCTCTAGAGCGGCCGATCATTGCCTTGACCAATTCCGCTTGCTCCTGAAAAAAAAAAAAAAAGAGATGGTGCGGTAGGTAGGAGGTTTCGAGAACAATAGCAAGAGAAAACGGCTAGCGGTGTGGCCGGGCCAGCGGGGGAGAGAAGGCGCCCGTCATCAAGTTCGCTTTTTCCTACCAGCCAATCCAACAACGAAAACCACCACCACAAAGAGCTAATCTCCCGTATTGCGAAGCACAACCAAGGCCCGTGATAGGACACTCTTTATGGCGGTGACTACG